GTGGCTGTATCTTAAAAGACTATTTCATAGCATATTGCAGTTAAGTCAGAGAGGTGAATTATGGATCTAGGAGAACTTTAAGAGTGTCGTGTTGCTAGGTGTCTGGTTTTCTGAGCCCGAAATGGTTCATTGACAGAGCAATCCTTGAATAAAGGGTTCATTCAAGCAACACCAGAGAAGAGCTTTTACTGAAGCAAAATATTCTGAAGTCTGTATCTAGTTTAGAGGTGATAAGGAAATTATAAGATTTAAGAAAAAAGGAAATTAGAGGGAAAAGATACCTGTGATTTAGAACACCTTTAGAACACCTTCAAGCCAAGAGTATTAAAGAACATTAAGCTACGCCTATTTGTGGTGAGAACAGGTAGTAGAAATAACTTGGACATTTTTGATCTTCACATTTTGTAATCTCTGAACAGCTAGAAGAAGAGTCCGAAACTTTTGAACTAAGTAAAGAATATGAAGAATTAATGAAGTTAAAAAGAAGTGGTTCTATTCAGGCAAAGAACTTAAAAAGCAAGTTTGAAAAAATAGGACAACTGTCTCAAGAAGAAATACAGAAAAAGATTGAAGAAGAGCGAGCTAAGAGAAGAGCAATGGATGAAGAAATAAGAGAAAGGGAAGCAGAAAAATTTCAAGAGGTAAGTTGTATTCTGTATACATAATGATGACATTCAACAGAGGCTTGTAATCACAAAGATCTTCATTCTCAACCTGCACTGAGCTGCAAGATTAAATTGAGCTAGGAGACTGATGACCCAGGAGTGAACAACGTTTCTTTTACCAATGTTTGTTGTGTTTCCAAAATGATTCTCTCCTTCCTTTCCAGTTCCCTCTTTGAACGTGCGAGAAAGTCTTGCCCCAGTGTCCCTCAGGGATATAACCATCAGTTTAATCAGTCAGCTGTTTTCTGCTTTAAGTCCTCAGTTCAGCATCCTAACAACTTAAACCTGCCAGTCCAACAGATTGAAGCATTCACGTTGTGAGTCTGTGTGCTATTAACAGGCACATAAATTGCTTGTCCTTCTGAACTCTTATTCATTCCCCACTGTATGAATTAAAAACAACCAGCACTACAATTTAGAGATCAAGCCCTTGCCCTTTTTAAGGTCAGAGAGAGAGAGAGAGAGAGAGAGAGAGAGAGAGTCTGCTGGTTTCTCAGGGTACAGCAGGGAAGTATGCCTAGTTATCTACACTTCTGATAGGAGCCTCTGTATTTTTTCATAGTAGGAAACAAGGGATGGAGTTATCCATTTAACCAATAAATCAACACTATCCTCTAACCAAAAATACGAACACTTGAGCTTTCGTGTAATGATCATGTGGCAAAAGTCATAACACTGATAAGACTTATCCAAACCTCATTAAGAGCTATTAGCCACATTCACAGTACTCCATCTCTTCTTATCAGCTCAAAGCCAATCTTTTCTTTTGGATCTTTTCATTTAATGACTGACACTGTAATTATGCTTCTTCTATGCAGTCAACCTGGGTAGGTGTTGAAGCTGCTACAACGTTGTGGCATAAAGAGCAAGCCACTGAAGACTGATTTTAGAGTCATACCATTGCCATAAGACAGAATTCAACTTATACGTGCACATAAGTCTTTAAAAAAATAATTTTTCTACCTAACATTTTTGAAAATATTTTTTGCAAATATTTTGCCCTTTTTTGCCCTGGTCTTTTTTCCTCTCCTCTGCACCCGTGAATAATTCTAGACATATTAAACTGGTTTTCTCCAAAAAGGGAGCATGAGTCTAATTAACCACTAAGAGACAAAGCATCCACAAAATAACCATAAAAAAAATAGTTCTTTCATTAGAAAGGCCTGCTTTTCAAGAGTACAGGTAAATAGGCAAAGAATCTCAAGTAGAAGACCTAATGTATATGACCTAATCAACAAAGGGACTTCCAGGACACGAGGTTCTCACACAGCAATATGAAAAGAAAGGAAAACCAAGTGCCATACCTCAGTAGTAACATGATTCTAAGAAAAGGCAAGCAAAAAAGTAGAATTTTTCCTGGCACAGGAAAAGGGAGGCTCACAGCCTAGGTCTGCTTTTTCCCCCCCTCTTGGACAAGGAGACTAACTCCTAACTGCTTTGTAAAATTAGCATTAGAAAAACAGGCGTGAGAGCTGTGAAAAAAGTCCAAGAAGATTTTTACTGCAAAAGAGAGAAAAGAGAGAAACCTAACAGAATAAGCATCCCTTCTCAAAACAAAAAAGTATACAGTGTGCATGCTGGACAATTCGTCTTAGTCTTTTACAACAGTCCTGCCAGAAGTAGCATGAGTTTTTAAAGAACTACTGTCCTACTGAACTAGTTTTATTCTAATGTAAATTTAAATTTAAAGGTAATAAATGAGTAAAGCTCTGAAACTTAAATTTTTCTTCTTTGCAAGGATGATGAGGTAGATGTGAGACCAGCCAAGAAATCTGAGGCTCCCTTTACTCATAAAGTAAACATGAAGGCCCGTTTTGAGCAAATGGCAAGAGCCAGAGAAGAGGAAGAACAGAGAAGAATTGAAGAACAAAAATTACTACGCATGCAGTTTGAACAAAAAGAAATTGATGCTGCATTACAGAAGGTAAAGATTACAAAATGCCTTTTATTCAGAGCTAAGTGTCTGTTAACTTGGTGAAATATGTACTTAAACATCTAACTGAACACCACTGATAGCAATGATGCCGGAGGTGTCAAAGACACATTGTACCACTTTAACAGCTGCTGCGAATTGCTGCAATAATATGAAATTGCTTTTGGTATGCGCACGTATTCTTGAAGAGTAGGAGAGAGAAATACTGCAAAGAAGTGGATCTTCTCCTTTGAATAGTATGAAAAGGAAATATAAACATATATTCATGCCTGTACTTCTCCCTAGATTCCAGCCTCATTAAAATTCATTTTCCAGAATTTACTGCCGGCTCCATTTCCAGATTTGATGCATTATGTTATCCAGTGAGCTTAGGTGCAGCACCTCTCTTCTCAGAGGCACAAGAGCTTTTCTGTAAATCAAATACATTTCACTAGTATTTATGTTGCTATTTCCACTTGAAATGTTCTAAATCAAATTATTTTAAAACAGAAAAGGGAAGAGGAAGAAGAGGAAGAGGGAAGCATTATTAATGGCTCTACTTGTGAAGATGAGGAGGATCAAGCTCGATCTGGAGCTCCCTGGTTCAAGAGGCCACTAAAAAACACATCAGTTGTTGATGGCGAGCCAGTGAGATTTACTGTTAAAATTACTGGGGAACCAAAACCCGAAGTCACTTGGTGGTTTGAGGGAGAAATGTTGCAGGACTCTGAGGACTATCAATATATTGAAAGAGGAGAAACCTATTGCCTTTATTTGCCAGAAACCTTCCCAGAAGATGAAGGGGAATATATGTGTAAAGCAGTCAACAACAGAGGCACATCTGCTAGTACCTGTATTCTCACCATTGAAAGTAAGAGTTAATATTTCAATTCACTTAATTCTCAAGTACTCTTCCTGCATCTTTCCTATTATGAAAAAACTGATTAACCTTTTCTTAACTCTCTTATTTTCTAGCTGATGACTACTAATGTTCTACTTTAGCTGGAATCTTTCTTCCTCTCAAACCTTTCTTACTGCATCATCTCTCTTTCTCTGATGGGGCCAACTAAAGAAAGCGAGGAAATGCACTGATTTGTCATTTCCTTCATCCGATAAAATACTCTTCAGACTGTGCAAGTGTCCAGGTTCCTTGGTCATATGAATTTTAGCATGAAAGGCTAAAAAGAAGAAATCAATAAAGGAAAAATAAAAAAATCAATAAAGGAAAAAGCCGAATTATCAATAGTGCTACCACATTTGAAGACCAACTATTGTGTAATCGTATAAATCTAAATACACAATCAAGAAACTTGTGTAGTAGTGTAAAACAGCTGGTATATTCTGCATGAACACTCTATATTTAAGCCATTTTACTGAAGAGGAAATACTTATTGGTGATTTCAAAAAAACCCAGTGTATTATTTCTAAACAATAAAAGATTACATAACTGCTTATGTTTATTGTTTTGTTTCAAATAGCATTTATTTTTTAATACAGACCTGCATTTAAATCATGAGGCTGTGATCAACCTATGCAGTTGCTAATCTTAAAGTAAACAATCTCAGTAAGGCTTGCAGTAATCTCTAGGGTATTAACATTTGCTTATAAAAATTGTTTTTTCCACTAAAAGATACAGGAGCAGTTGGTGACAAAACGTGGGCCAATCAGCAAATTTCATAGGAAGTAAACTTTAAAATAAAAACGTTGCGCAGAATTGCCTAGTTTTTCAACCTTCATTCTCTCTTGTTGCAATAGATTTATTGCAGCATCTCTAAACATTGTCTGCTTAAGGCTAGCATACTATTTTTCTAAGACATCTTGATAACAGTGCTAATGCCATTGTGCCTAATATCTAAATGGTTCAGCTTAGGCTTCTCTAAGAGTTCTTTTACAAAAGACGATCAAAATTTTAAATTGAAGAACACGTTTAGAGCAGTAACATAAGACAGGGCAAGCTGCAGCAAATGTGCAGTCACTTCAAAAATGATTTTGAGAGGTTTTACTATGAATCTGCTGACTGCACTGCCTACAAAGTTACTTTACAAAAATCGTTTGCCTCAATAAAATAGTTACAGATTCTGAAACATCCTGAAAAACTAACTGATAAGCTGTATGATATTTAGAGTGAAAATTTATCTTAATGGCAGTATTACAAAAATATTTTATTTCATTTCATGTGGGTGATGTTCATTTCACATAAATATTAGTTGCTGCTATATTCAGTTCTCCTGAAGCTGCAATTTCAAACTAATGAAGGCAGGGGTAAGAGCATAAAAGAGACAAAAGCATTACTATTATTATCCATCAGTTTACATTTATTGAGAAAAACCATACAAAAAACATTATACAGTTAACGCGTACCCATATTACATACAATATCAATGCAAGCTCAAAACCACATTTTTGTAAAGCATTCAATTTACCTCAAGTCCAAGCTGCATCTCCCTAAGACACTGTTCCCATCACAGTTGCCTTTTAAAGCCAATCTTCTTTTTACACACGGGTAGTTTCTGCAGAGAACACTTTTCTCAGGACGAAAATGCATTTCACATGCACGCAAGAGAAATATTTGTGCATACATAAGAATTTATGAGCTATTACTAGGGAAGAGGGAATCCTGTCAACTGTATGCTTTCTGAAAGGCCCAGTCCACCCTTCCTCCCACCATGTCCAGAAAAAAGCAAAATAAAAAGCTTTTAGCATGCAATGAAAAACTTAAAAGCTACTTTGGAAGGGAATAGGGGAGAAACAGTTTCTATCATCCAATACCACTAGTAAAAAGATGAAATATTTCAAGAGAGACTGTGCAATGAATAATGATACTGTCTGCCTGAACAACTTAAATACATGGTATATGATCATGCTAGATAAAATATTATCCACCTGGTATTTTATTTCATGTCCTGTCTGAAAGTATATGCTGCAGAAAGTGGTATGAAAATGCTTTTCCTACTTTGAACATTATGCCTCCTTTTTAACGTTTTAGTACTCTTCACATTCTATTTAATTTGTGGGACTCTAGGGAAGAAAAAGCAGGAAACATTTAAAGACACCTTTGGGCAAGTTCATTACACTTCCAAGAAAGTCCAGTTATCTTACTGGATCTGGATAACTCCAGTAACATATTTTCTGTTCTCCCAAGAACTGTGAGCTTGGGGACAGAATTGAGAAAATAAACACTACGCTTAGTACAAAAGAGCATGCCTGTAAACCCGGCAGTGAGCAAGCTGAAAGTCAGTATACCTCAAATGCTATATACTAAGGCAAGTTCATCTCATCTAATAAAGATGCAGTATTCTAATAAGCTGGCTTTTTCTTCTCTATTTCCTCCCACTGGCTAAATTTACAATTAAAAGACTGTTAAGATATTTTAGGAACAACAGTTGTAGAAAAAGCAGCATGTAAGAAGAAGTGAACAAATGACTCACCCCAACACTAAATTCCTGGCATCAAAACTCCAAATGGTACACACCTAACGTCTTATGTCAAAAATGAATCTGAATTACATATTAAACTACAAATCATCAAATATGAAGTGGCTTGAGAAACTGAAGCACAACTATTAATTTAGTTCAAAAAGTCAATATATCTAGCTTGACTGTTTAGAAGAATACAAATTAGAATAAATGGTTTATATTATTAAATCACAGTTAAAAAACTTAACAGATTATGGAACATTCATGGTCAAACAAATAGTACTTTAAAGAATGAAAAGTGATCAAAACAAAAATTATACCCTACACCATTATGTATGGGATACATTTCAAATCTGTTATGTTTTTGCCAATTTTACCTTCTACATGGAGCCCTTCTATGGTCCATGCTCATCGGCTCACCAATGGCATACACTCAAAGGATTCCTCTTTATTGGTAGTAACTATCTCAGGACCTGATTCTATGAGCTATGATTTGGTGCTTGCAGCATCTTCAGCACTGTGTGTGAAAATGAAGGCAGTATTTTTGAATATTTTTCTTTCATGTACAGATAAGCAGGACTTTTGAAAGAGGAGCAGCACATTTTAGAAACAGAATCATCAACAAAAAAAAATGAATAGATGCTGCTTTACTTTAAGCTTAAAAAAAAAAAAACACTGTACCAGACCATCTAAGACATAAAACATTTTAAACTGGCAAAACATACAGCAATTCAGTTAAAATACCAAGAAACAGGAAACACTGACTGCTATATAGATAAAATATTATTTGCTGTACTGTTAACATTTAACTGGTGCACATGCTTTTTCAAATAAAACATACTCATCTGCAAAATTCTAGAGTCTATTTTCCTACCATGGCAAGTATGAATAAGCAAACTAAATTATCTAAAGATTCCACTAACACACTATAACTGTAAGACAAGTTATCAAGTTCAGTGATAACACAAGTTATATTCTTTATACTTAGGTCTTACTAGTTGAGTGGGAGTAGTGCCCTATTATAAAAAAAACCATTTGTGAAGGCTGTTGACGTTTCTAACCAAAGTAATTCCTGCATATTTTTAACGGTTTTGATCTTTAATTGCAACAATTAGCTATTTGAGAAAAAGTAACAAAAATGACTTATTCTGATTAAGTTTAATTACTGCAATCTACTCATCTTTTCTAGAAAAGATACATATTTACCTAGAAATATAAACAGTTGTTTAGAAACTTAAAAGACTTTCCACTGAAATGGAACCGTAAGTAACAATGCATTTGGGGAAAGCAGCTGATTGCTTTTCAATACACAACCACAAAGATCTCACAGGGACAACATTAATGTACTGAAATATAGTAATTTATATACTTCCTTAGGTTGTGCTTACCTGTTGCTTTTTTGCAGCAGAACCTAAGGTGGAAGGTCTGGGAAGGCACTGTGAAGTATAAATAATTGCACTGTTTGCAATTAATAAAGATTTTATACCTTAAATGAATCAAAATCAACAGCCTCCATTTTGTGAATGATAAAGAATCCAGTGAATTTAATTTTGCTCAGTTTAGTACATAATAAATGCACCATTCTACAAGGTTATCTACAAAATATCATGCAAAATATCTGAACTATTAAACTTCATATCCTACACTAAAGATAGCAAATACCATCCTAGCCTTTTTTTAAACTACCAGAATAATGCCTAATTTTAAAAGGGATAAAAATAATTCCTTCTTTCTACAGCACAATACATACATTGCTAATTACCTGAATAAAACTACTTCAATTTCAACCTTAACTTTTAGTCTCTGTGCAGCCACACTAAAGTTTATTCTCAAAACAAAATGGTATTCCATAAGAAAAAGCAAGTAACAGTTATAAAATTATTTTAAAACATACCTCCATCACTACGTATCTGCAAACTAACTGAAGACAAACAACTCCTGTCTGACAAGTGGTTCCAAAAGACTTCAATGTTATGATATGCATACTTAAATACACTGAATAATATAGCTCTCTCTCAGGTGGACTCATGAAAAAAAGACTATTACTCAGATAAACAGAAACATGATTTTCTTTAGCTGTTGCTAAACGTTTCAAGAATACTTACCCATAAAGCTCACATAATGTGTGTATATATATATATGTATATATGGCACACCTATGTTTCTGAATTAAGAAGCAATTATGATTTCCTAAGATAATCAGCACTGTATTCCAACATAATATTCACACAAGTATGGCAGTTTCATTATGTGGAACATTGACAAAAAGATACTGTTGCAGTTCATCAATTTGTCATTCTGATGTACTTACAGTGCAATGCTCCTTGAAGGAACAATCAAGGATGATACACAGCACAGTCCTCCTCACCCCTATAGAGCTAGTTCTATACTGGCTGGATCAAACCTGCACTTCAACAGACAATGGCAAGACAGACTGTATTGCATGTAGTCTAATATATGCAAAGAGCCAATAAATATGCAAAGAGCAAACATAGGATTTCAAGATAACCAGATTTTTAGTATGAGCATTAGAGTAATAAGAAGGTTCAAGTATATTTAAAAAAAAAAAATCATTTGATTCAAAGACTGGTCTTGAGTATTTACAAAAGAAGTTATCTGCTCTGCAGGAAGTTCTCAACCGCTCCCCAACACTCAAACAAAACAGCGTTTCAAGGACAGATGCAATTTTTGTAACTACTATGCATACCACATTGACCTTTCTACACTGAATTTTGAAGTGAACTACTTTAAACTAGAGGCTTAAGCACAAACACTGAAAATGAAATTTATAACTAGCCTGAAAAATCCTTAAAATAGTTAGGCAGGAACAGTTTTGAAGTCAAGTATTCAATTAAGAACAAAAGTTAACTGTTATAGCAGCTGTACAGATCTCAAACAGTGGTCATGTATAAAAGGAAATTTCACTGTTAATGCAATGGAAGTATGCCAAAAGATCACCTTCTTAAACACATGCAATTTTTAATCAAATAGAAAGAAAATTAAGATATCAAGATTACTGGTGCTAGGCAGCAAAATACAATGAATGAAAGAGATCCTCCATCTACAACTATTCTGCAAGAGGGGAAAAACATGCTAACGACAAGTTTTTAAACCCAACAAGATTTCATGGAGGGGGGAGGGAAAAACAAAAGCAAAAAAAACCTCATTTGTGTACAGGTACCTTAATTCGGCATTTCAAATCAATCCTATAATTCTTTAAATACCCAACATATCCAACTTACCGACACAGGAGGTTTCATATTATTTATTGTAAAGCACAAAACAGGCATTTTAAAAGTGATAAAGTATACATTGAAAAAGTACATTTATATCACAAAGCATTGACCACATAATAATTGCAAATACATTTGCTGGAATGTGTACATCTACACTAATACTAAAAACAAACCATTTTTCATTTCTACACAGAAATATTACCTCCTATCAGTAGTGATAGATATTTTGTACATTTTCAAAAACACTATCTTTTTTAACCAAACAAAATTAAGATCTTCATCAAGGCGTCTGCATCCATACATTTAACAAAGGTTTTTTCCCCCACACAATGAAGCAAATACTGTATTGTCCACTTCTTATTATTGGCCCTGTGCAGAAGAGATACATAAGAGATACACAAAAAGTTAAAGAAAATCCTTTAAATCGAGCTAACTCAGGAGTGAAGCCTTTAAGAAAGAAAAATTGGTTAATGTAAATGGTGGTGGCTTCTTGCATGGTTTTCAAAACCCTGGGAGGAGAAAGTTTTTCTTTTTTTTTTTTTAAAATCAAAATCACCAAACATATGGATAGATACAGAACTCAAGTTATCAGGTAAAGCAAAGTCATTTATTAATTATTTTGATAGTTATTTTGCTAGAAAAAAAAAAAGATGCATACTCCAAAGGCAACAAAGCAGGAGACATGCAAAAAAATATCTGTAATCACTGAAACAGAAGCCAGCCAAAAAGTAATTAATAAACTTTATACCTGTGGTGCTGGAGGATGTTGTGGCATTCCCTGGGGGCTCGTCTGGGCGTAATATGCTGCCTGTTGTCTGTAGTACTCAGCCCATGCTGCACTATAATCTGGCTGACCGCCTGGCGGAGCCCCAGCGGGCGCAGGAACTGCTTGACCTACAAATAATTAAAATTATATAGTATAGCTTTGTTGCTGCAATAAAGATGAGAAAAATTAAAAATAATCTCACTGCTAACAAACATTACCTTGCTTTTTGTAATATTTCACCCAGGCTTTTAAATAATCTTGTGGCTGCCCTTTTTGACCTAACTACTCACCCTATTTTAATGTAATGATTCCCACATAAGGAGAAACTGAAGATGCATAGGAAAGACAGGCCTTTCCACCTTCTTGAATCATGTTCCAGAGCAAAAATCTTTAAGCATGCTGGTCTAAACCAACTTGGAACCACTGGTATCAATTCAATTAAAATGCAGGTCAACAAGGGAGATCACTTTTGGTCATCTGCCCGGATTGACTTTACCTTATTGTACAGGCTGCATTAAATAGTTCATCTGATGCTAATTTATTAACTGCCCCAATGTTGACATCCTTAGTGCAACTCCTGGATTAACGCAATTACATTTATTTTTGTTAACCTTTAATCTACTACAGAAGACAGTCCTGCAGCTTTTCCTTTAAACCCTCACTCAAGTTCCAAGCCTCAAGGAATAACATTACACACACACGGAACCCTAGACTTACAGTTGACAGCTGCTGGTCTTTCCAACAAAAATCAAGTTGCAACATAAAAACTTTATATAATAAAGATACTAAAATAACACAACAGGACTCTAACGTATACAAAAAACATTAGAGCCAACATTTAAAACCTCTGCCATGCTATTTACCCAAGGAAGGTTTGTCCCAGACATCTTTGCTTCTTCTTCCCTTCTCCTCTTAATTCAGAAAGATTCAAAACACTTCAGAATCACCAATACTTTCTTTATGAATGCTTATGTCAAAGCTGCTTTGCCAGTTACCACTAAAAGATACCCATGACTATTAGCAGAACAGCTCTCTCCACTCACACATCTGTGCTCAGACTTGAATACAACCAGACAGAGAAGGGGCTAAAATGAAGCAGTCTATATAAACAGCTACTTAAACTTCCAAAAAAAAAAAAAAATCACCCGCTGAGGTGCCCTATTTTGGTAGCCAACATTCTCAAGGGGTTAAAACTTTGTTTTTTAGAAAATAACATTGGGATTAGGATGCTAGAGTAGAAAACAGGAACAGAACACCATATCCGATCCCAATACTTCAAATCAACAAATCCAAGTAAAATGGAAACATGCAAGGTGCAGAATTCTGAAATGGGCACCAAATCTGGTCTTTCGTTATCAAAGGGGGGCAGCTTCCTAATGAGAGAGGGCTCAGTTTTCAGTTCTAATTGAATGCACCTCACCTTGGAAAGACCAGTAGGTGTCAACCTTTATTCAGACTGAAGACCACTGAGGAACCTCTCTAAGGAACATGAGTATTTAAAACGTTCTAGTGAACTGTTTCCTAGGACATTAAACAGAAGTATTTTTAAAAACCCTTTACACAAAAAATGCAGCTAGTAACGTTCTTCTCACATTTGCATAAATGAGTCTGAACGTTTGTCAAAGCACTATCCTGAACACACTCAGAAGAGAGCCTTCCATTTTCCAGCCATATATGCAACTTAACACGGTTAGTTCTTCCATTTACTCTGTAGATACCATTTGATAAAAACAAACCACCACCCTACCACCACCACCACCACAACCCTTCTCCATCAGTTTGTGGATTACACAGAAAAGCAACTGTTGTCCAAAAAACACTAACTCAAATTTCTCCAAATCTTAAGAGCTGAAACCACACAACGTCTGATGTTTGAGCAACATGGCAGGATTTACAATTCCAGTCAACAATTTTAAGCAAAATGCTCTTTGACATCATAAATTATCCCAGGATATGTTTTTTGCAAGTTCACTATGATATGTTGAGATCACAATTCCATTTAACAAATTAGTAGCTATGCCTGACATAAGTTATGTCAAAGCTAAGGCATTTTTTGTGCACTAGGACCTGCTAAACTTTCAGCATTTAAGCAGCTATCCCAAGGCAGTGATGAAATTCAAGTAACATATCAGATGTAGAAAACCGGCTGTCTGCTGAATTCCTTTTCTGGAATGGATTAGGAAAAATTTGAAAATATTTTTGTTCCACTGTTCCCCTACCAAGTACTGCAAGCAATTCTGAGCCTGCATGTGAAATTCAGCAGCCTTCTCTCATTGTTCAGAGCTGCACTGAAACAGTACAGTACATGCTCATCAACATCCAGATTTACACCTTATTAAAGGAGACTGATAAACTACATATATGGGAACATAAGAAACAGAATACTTCCCAAGAAAGAAAGTATCACATGATTCTACAGTTCTTCCATTACTCAGTCATGAGCGGTGATTTTAGCAAGGAGAAAGCTTTTCTTTTCTTCTTCCCTACTACAGCTGAGGAACCATTAAAGAACAGTTCCACTTTTATGGAATCCTCTAATTAAGGAGTCAATCCCACACATTTTAGGACGATTTTAAAGTGATAAACGTACAAACTTCTATGAGGACATACAGATCACTTACTAAAATCTGACTTCATGTTTAGTGGGAACTGTTATCCTTGGGAGCTTTGTAGGCCCCAGCTATGCAAATCTATTTCAGCTCTTGCAGGAAGAAAGAAAAATAGCATGCCTTCAACTGAAGATAACAGCATCTATGTATCTTCAAAAGTTAAATTGAAAGCACTGTTCTTACTATCTGGTAATACTGACAGGAAATTTAAAACAAGTTTTCTGTGGATTTATGAAGTAGGGTACCAAAGTCACCTACAAGATCCATGAACAGTAAGTTAACAGCGTGGGAAAGTAATTTAATTACTTCAGTCTTTAATTTTCAGTCTTATTTTTAATCATATAGCATACTTAAGTAATACTCTCAGAATAGAAAGAGAACCTGAAAACGAGGATGGATTTTGCCACTACATTTCTGAGTCGAGAACAGGTTATTTTCATGTTACTGTTATCCTATACACTGGGGAAAAAAAAAAAAAAAACCACAAAACACTTTTCTGCACTTGCTCTAGTCATATAATACCAGTAGGAAGGCACTCTGGAAATCAGTATTTCTGATATTCTAGACTCAAGAGAGAAATGCATGCATTTTTATTTAAAATTGTAGGTTTTTAATGCTTTTGATGGACTATTCAGTAGTGCTTTAGCGTTTTTGGATCATTCATATCTAACAGTCTCAAAATTCTACTTGAAAAAATCTCAAGTGCCAAATGCAGTATCGCATCCACCTTGCTCAGCTTGGTACTCCTGACACTGAACTTGCCACATGGATTATCAAGACTAGTTTTCTTCAGCAGCAAAAATAAAACTACTTGGGCTTTGGAAGTTAAGGGAGTTCAGTTCTCTGAAACAGCACAGATAATTTTAATGACAACTGTTTGTGCAATTCTTATCTGCGCTGTGAAAAATACCAAATACTGTCGAAGACTGTCCTGTAATTCCTACCTTTCCCCTTCTGCAACGAGTTACTGGGGACACTAACACTGCAGCACTGCAGAAGTGCAAACGAGAACTGTATCCGAGAGCCTAAAGACCAATTTGCTGAGAGAGCGCCTTCCCATTTGTCAGCTCTCCCACTTCTTAACGTTGCTGTTAAGGGACAGGGAAAAGACACCACCTAGAGTTAACTTAATGCTAAATGGGAAATCTTGGCCTTTCAGCCTCACTTCTTTACTTCATCCTCTTTAAGCGCATCTTAACAGAAATGGTATCCTTCATCTCAAAGTTGTTAACATTCTTAAGAAGCAGAAAATTCTCATGCTTTACATACTCAAGTTATAAAGATTCAAACATCAAGAGTTCGCCTTCCAGGGAAAGGACCTGATTTAAACTAGAAGAAAAACTGACGATTAGAACTGCCTTTCTGTTTTTCCTCCCTGATTTGTTCTCTTGGCTCTTATCTATTTTACATTTTTTGAGTAATTCTTTACATCTGTCATTGTCTGCCTCTTTTGGGCTCATACTCCTTTTGGGACTTAATCCCCAAAACTCCATCTGAATACCTTTCACTAGCTGGTACATAATCAGAGGAAAACATGAGCTGAAGTAACCCAGACTTTCCTTTCCAAAAGTGACAATTAGAGCCCTTGTCAACAAATTTAATTATTCTTAAAAAAGCAAAAAGCCTTGTGCTTTGTGTTCAAGAATGCAAGCTGAACTAGCAGAGGCATTAAATAAATAGATAAAAAAGTAGTTAACAAGGAAGAGAAAGAATGGAAAGGCCTAACAAATCTTAAGAGTGTTTGGGAGTCCTGTTGCAATTTCCACAGTCTGACACACAATTCTTGAAACTGTATCATTTTTCCTGTTTCATTTTATTACTACTTCTGCTAAGCCAAAATAAAGAAGAATAAAGTCAGTATGTCCTGGCAAATGGTTTGGGATCAACCTGGTTGAATGCTGAAAAGAGGAATAAAACGTGCCATTTACTTTAACCCCTAATTCTGCTTTTTAATATACCAAGATGGAAAGGGGGAATAGGTGGAAGAAGGCAAAAAAACCCAAACCAGATGATGCTGTATATCTGGTCAGACAGACACCAGAAAAAGCTCAGGTATTCAAAAGCCCGCCGGTCTTCAGCATACAAATCTAAACCATCTACAATATCTAGGGGAGGACAATATGGTCAAATATTGAACTGCAAGGCATTCTGATTTAAAAGATAACACCACCTTTGGCCAATGCATCAAAACCACGTATTCTGTCCTTATTCAGTAAGTTGTAAAATAATTAACTTGCATGCAAACACATTTCACTTTTAAAAACCTAGTTCAAGCAATATACACTCAAAAAGTTAGCAGCAATATATAAACTTATGGTTTAAATGCAGCTCTTAAACATTGCAAAGAGCATATGATATAAGTGAAAGCTAGTCATGATACTTTAATAACATGATCATGTAAAGCAAAAGTTACAAGGAAAACTAAAGATGTGTAATCTTAAGGGCATTAAGTAACACAACTACCGAACATGAAAACAGCTTCACAAAGTAGACCAAAATTGAACTCAAACTTAAAAACATACTCTAAAAATATTTAAATGGAAATATCTAAAAGGTATTGCTTCCCAGTGATCAAGTGTAGGTGTTTCACATATGATATCAACTCATTTTTAGCTACAAAGTATTTTTCCAAAGCTGATCACTAATATGAATACAAGAGAGTGCCTTAAACCCCAATTCCTAAGAAGTCTGTTTTTCAGCAAAACTTTACAGCTTTTAGTACTGTAATTCAGAAGACAGACGGATGGGGTACTTTTTGTTTTGTAAAAAATCTCAAATGAGATATGCAAGTCTCTTCTAACAAAATACTTTGCAACAACAGAAAAACATACACACATACCCATTTTTTTGTAGTACTCTTCCCATGCCTTGGTATAGTCAACCTGCCCTGCTGGTGCTGGATTTGGCTGATCTCCTGAATTACATATTTCAAAAAAAATGTTAAAATAATACTTTTTTTTGTACTCAGAAAAATATACAAATAACCTGCTGAATGCTTTGATAACAGGCCCAAATAACAATGCTCAAATCTGATAGTGAAAAACCTATCTGCTACAAGCTACTACTACAAAAGGAAAAACAAAAGATAAAACACACACACACACAAACCCAACCCAAAAAATGAAAAAAAAACACCACACTAAAAGAAACCACAAAAATTTAGCGTGTTTTCAAGATTTAGGAAGTGCATACAATTCACATACAGTACTAAACAGCTATCTAAAATTTAAGTTTAGGCCTCATCCAGACACAAAAGTTATCGTAGTACAAATAAAGCAGTAATTTTCCTAAACCATTTGAAGTGATGCAACTGTTTAAACAAGTAGCAATTATTAAGAGTTTGGCTCATTCTAGTTTTACTTATAACTGCAGTACGTAGATACAATTAATTCAGACCAAATTGCAGGGAAACATCTCTTTGGAATTGTGCTAAAAGTAACGTTGAAAGCTGTAAGCAAGGGTTTTCCAAGAAAACTGGCTACCTTACAATAAGTTCATCCAGTATGTAAGACAACAAAAACAAAGAGGGACTTCTCCCCTCCAACAATAATAAGAAATTTATCCATTTTACCTTGTCCATTAGTTTGGGTTGTAGCCGGTCCCCCAGGAGGGGCTGCAGGCGGTGGCTGTGCTTGTTGCTGATAGTAGTGAGCATAGTAAGCTGCCCATGCGGCTGAATTGGGATCTGTTCCTGGCTTACCTGTGAAGTAAGACATGAACGTTTATAAGAAGTGTATGAACAGAAAGTTGATTTCAATTAACATGTTCTAAGCACATTTATTTTCCTTCAAGGAAAAAGTCCATCTAAACCAAGTTACCAGTTCAACCTCGTAAGTATCTTTTCTTTCTAAGACAAACTTTCTATCAAGTTTAAAACAGAGCACAGTACAAACTATGTTTTTATAGACGTGCCGAGATAAAAATCTTTATAGAACACTTGCTACTGCAACAAAATGTATTAATGTGTAAAGGTGATGAACAGTAACAGTTGTTTTTCAAGTTTATTTAAATGGCTATTTTACTGAACAGCAGTAACAACGAATCATTCTAGCACCAACCACTGTCAAGCTTTCCTTTCTGTAATCTCACACTAATACCACTGACACAAGCACAGGCATCTCAAATACATCTTTCTGAAACAGAGGAATACAAATCTTACTAGGTATTTGCAATATTTGTCCATTAAACCGTAAGATAACAGTAAAATACAGCAGCACACAGTATTTTAAGAATCTGAATTCCCATCCATGACTATAAGGCCTTACTGTTTGCTTGCAGCTTTTTAGTCTAACATATGATAGCAACTCTTTTTTCTTCTGTAGCTATCTCCAATCTTCCCCTTATTTTTAACTGAATCCAGGAAGTCTAATGATGCTGCTTCCTACAGTCTTATTTCTCTAATTTTTTTCCCACATATATCTTTTAGGAAGATTACTCTCCCTGTAGAATCATGCAGAGATGGATTACATTAACAGGTTGGCAATCTACAAAAAACGTGCTTCTACTTTGCAATAGAACATTGTTTCTATCACAAGACCTGCACACTTAAAAAATAAAATTATCTGCAAATAAATGGAGTAAACTGATGAAAAACTTTGAATAAGGGTACAACTGATAATTTGGAAGAGCTATACACGTGGACGAAAGTACATTCCCTCCCCCCAAACAAAAAAATAGGTAAAGGAGTGGCACACTGAAAAGAAAGTAGTAATCCACTGGAAAAGCCATTGGGGGCAGGTACCCACACACACCCTGGAAGAAAAAACCCAGAACAAATTACTACTAAAGTACGTACTACAAGAAAAGTTAGATGTAACCACTTACAATGCATACAGTAATATCAACATATTGAAAACAATGTTAACGAGTGGCTTCTTTTTCTAGTTACACTGCTTGCAGTGACAATGTTGTATTTAAGCAATAGTTTAATGCTCTGGGCAGGCAGAAGACCATCAAGGGATAACTCATGTCTGTTATAGGGATGCTTCCACACAGGACAAGCAGCTACATATCTAACGGAACACGTTTTGTTATTGAACACACAATTCAAAGCAAGAGGAACCGCATCTACTGAACACCTTGGGATGAACGGAAAACACTAGATCTTTGCTCATTTATTAAAAAAACTGCAACAATCCTACACAGCCTCACCTAACATAAAACTAACAGGTACTGTTCTAAGGTTACCTGCAATTATCTTATAAGCCTTTGCTGGCCTTCCCCCCTACCCCCACCTCAGTAGCTACTGCTCTAGAAGCACACGCAACAGGGAGGGATTCATTAAAAATCCCCAAAGAAAATCTGACTGTCGTTACTAGCTTCACTGTCAACTGATAGAAGCATGGTTCAAAAGAAAAAGTCTAGGGGAAAAAAACCCCCACAAACTATAACCATCCTTTTGTTTCACTAAAATGTGCAAATAAATATATCTGTACCAAATGCATTCATGTAAGCGCTATTTGAAAGACAAACAGATTTCAACTGCATATGGAAAAAATGTGTTAGATTTACAAGAGGAACGTTTATCAGAGAATCTGAAGCAAGAACAGACACGAAGATGAATATTCGCTATTTTTAATAGATCTCTTTCTACATAAATTGCTTTATTAAAAAATTAAAAACTGATCATGAAAAAGGCTATAATTTTCTGTCAGTGGTTTTGGATTAAATCAAATCTCAGCCTACCAGAAGTATCAAGTCATACCATTTTGAATCATTCTACCTTTACGTACCGGTAACAGACATTTTAAAATACTAAATTGAATGCATGGAAAGCGACCGTAAAAGTTTGGGAACTGCAACTAAAGGCAGCTCTTCACCAAGCAAAGAGAAAGGAAGACACAAAGAACATGAATAGAAGAACTCTAGATTGTAACAACTACTGAAAACCTACCCTTCTTCACTTATGGAAGGTGTGCCACGACCAGTGACTATCAGAAAATACTTGCTTCGTTTACAACTTAAATCAAAATATTTTGGCTTAAGTTCTGAAGAAGTTCTACCTCAAAGAGGCAGCTAAGGTGCAAATGCCTCAACCATCTAACCTTACCATGCCTTCTGTAACTGCAGCACAGTTTCCCCACTTGCTCTAGTCCAAGCACAGGATCTAACTTAAATAAAAGAAAAAGAACTAAAACTTCAGGAAGTTGCAATTAAGAAAAAGAACTCCCAGTCTTGAGAAAGATAAACAGACACGGGGGGGGGAAGGATTCTAGTAAGATATGTTTCAGAAGAAAATGCAAAGCCTCAAAACATTCAAAGCGTACACATGTAAGGACATGTAAGGATAAACTATATTTACTGAACGCATATCCATGCCACAGTGCAACTGTGCACTATTTCCTACCTGGATCTGGTGGATTTGGTGGCTGCCAGTGTGGATAAGCATTTCCCCATCCTTGTGGAGCATATGGGGCTGGAGGACCACTATAAAAAAAATATATATAAAAAAAATATATATATATGTACACACACATACACACACACACACACACACACAGTGAAAACCAGTCCCAGGGTTACCCTACAAAAACCAGCTAGCTGAAGTTATACTTACTGAGGTGCAGGACCAGGAGGCCCTGGATTGTAAGGAGCAGGGTTATATGGTCCCATAGGAGCACCAGGACCTGGGGGACCAGGAGGTCCGTGTGGCCCAGGAACAACACCATGGGGTCCATGGGGAACTGGTGGACCCAGTGGATTAACCGGACCCTGCAACGATAATAGGATGTATATGAAAAATAAACCCTGAAGTCATCCGTTTTCCTGCAATTTAAAATTCTACATCCAAACTACTTAAAAATATCATCTGAAAGGTTTTATTCAGGTTCTTAAACAACGACATTTCCCTGGAGAAGCCATTCTTTCAGAAGGTCAATTTATTTGGCTCATGGCTAGCTAGAGAACAGGCAGCGTCGAAAGCAGCTTTGGCAGTAGTAATAACCAAATAGCTGCGCTTATCTTGCAGTTCCTTCTTAATGAAGCAAAGTAATGCTGCAGCCCAACCCTCCCCACCTCATTCCTCAGGGAAATGCTTTATAATCACGTAACAATAGATTTAAAAAAATTCCAGGAAGTTCGCACATGATAAAAAAAAAAATCTAAGGTTTATGGACTGTTAGTCATGTGGTCTTACATTTATTGACTGTCACACTCTGAAGATGTTACAAGGTAAACCAAAAAACGTGACTACTAGTAACCTAAACAGGTAAAACAGAAGTTTTCAGTAGCAACAGTAAGCAACTATTTTCACAGTATTAAGTCCAAAACAAGTTTAATTCTTTATTTCAAAGAAATTTACAAATAAACATGGATTTTTCCCCACAAGTTGTATTAAAAAAAAGAGCATATTTTAAAGTAAATTGATACATTTAAATCTGACTAATCTTACTGACTAAATCAATGAGTAAGTTCAGTTGCAAAAAAATAGGAAGTAAATTTGATTATATGCATACACAGAAACAAAATTGCAGTGAATGTGGAGCATTTACTTGGGTTCAAGATGATATCTACCTGAACATATTAAGATTGAAACATTAACCATGCAATTTAATAGTTTTAAGATATCCATAGCTTTCAAATATTTTCATTATCCACAACAAAATGGCTGTCTTCTAGAATGCAACATTGGGGTATATACTGTATTACATTAAACAATAACATGGAACAAAATTTTTTTCTTTAAGTTTTTGCTTCTTTTAGAGTATCAACAAAAACTCGTATTAGTGGTTTTTATCACTTTAAACACAGATTTACTATTACTATTTACCATTATCAATTTATTATCTGATGAGGTAATTACGAAGTAAAATGGAAAAAAATTATCCACAAAAAAGCCTCACTTCCTGTTCTGCTTAGTTATAATTAAATAAAGAATATACAGCTATATACTCACTCCAATCTTTTCTTCTATAAGTTGTCGTGCATAATCTATTTGCTGGGGTGTTCCACGGATAGTAAACATTTTCATGTTTGGATCTGCATTAGGTGGAGGATTTCTCTGAAGTTCTATTCTAGCACCAGATTGCTGGCTTATACTTTTGATAGTTTCACCTCCTACAATACAACATACAGCTTTTATGATACACAATAAAACAAATATAACAAGATTCAAATCAGATAAAATGAACTACATGGAAGTTAGAAGATACAGAACTGAAGTGACCTACTTTTATGAGCCATATCAGAACATTCTAATAAAAATAACTTTTCCTTTCCTGTAGTTAGAGCCTTGTTTGCAATAAACCAGTAAAAATAAATTATTTTTTAAATTAAAGACCACAGTTTTGTTATTCAGAAAGACGAGCAAAGGATTCCTGCAATGCTATCTGCTTTTTTCCATTCACGCAAAAACGTTAAATTAGACATAAACAGCAACCAAAACCTGCAGTTCTCAGTAAATACAACCTTAAAGCCTAAGCTCCCTAGAAAATAGTAATTAAGCATAGATGACAAAAAAACCCTGAAACTGATCAGACTGTGAGGTTCACATTTTTTGCAGTGCATTCAATTCAGAAGATAAACTCCCTAAACTAGCTCCCCTCCTCACAGGTTTCTGAGATGTCATTTGTATCATTAGCAGACATAAAGTTTACAAACAGAAGTCATCTCCTTTCTATTTTTTTTTTTTTTTTTAAAAAAAAATATCAACCTTCCAGGGCAAGAATTGAACTATGACAGCCTATTTGCTTTGTCTGGAAAACACATTAGAAACAAACAAAAGATTAAGGTAACTCAAGCACTTCATTTAGGAACATGCAATAAAATTAAGATATTTTCAAGATAAAATTCTTTGATAAGTGATTATTTTGATAAATACACGGAAAAATTGGTACAGGATTCCACTGTAAAAAAATCTTCACTGGAATATGTGAAAATTAGTTTTAAGAGATAATACAGATACGATAACACTAATCTAATAAAATAACATCAAATGCAAGTTATTTATAATATACAACAACATCTAAGAATTACCAAACACTACAATATAACTTACTATTTATTATTTTTAAATACATGAAGTTATATAAATTGAGTGGTTTTTGACTTTTAACTACCAGGGTATGAGCTTTGGGGAGGAAAGTCTTTCCTACCAAAAAGATTATTAGAAGTGCCATGATTTAGCTGGATTATGTTCCTCTGTTGCACATGAAACTCTTTGCAAAGGCTTCTCTTGAAGCATCTCTCTAGTATGGCTATTTGCACAAAGGGAAAAGCTTAAAGCTTTTTAAATATAAATACACACACACACATATATATAAGATATATTGCCTTTGCCAATGATTAATCCAGTTTTGCCAGTGGGAACAATAAAATTGAATTCCTGTAATCCACCAGGAGGACCCATGTTCCAGTTGCCTTGACCTCTACCCCTTCCTCGACCACCAGGTCCTGGTCCACCAGGGTTACCAGCCTAAAAGGAAAAAAAAATAAAAAAGAAAAAAATCACAAATTAGCATATTTCACAGAAACCTACTGCTAACAAATCATTAATGGTAACTGCTTACTTTACTTTTTCCTTAGAATAATCCCATCTAATGTTACTACTCAGTTACGTTAAAGTAGTATTATTTCTAAAACACAAATCACACTGTTAAAGATGTGATCTATACAACTCTGATGAAAGATAAAGAAAGAAAGGAAAGAGAAGAAAGCAGAAAGTTTCACACTTACAAAAGTATCATTACTGTCTACTTTCTGCAAATGCAGTGGTGGGGCCTGTAATCTCACTGTGAGCGTTCAAAACCATCTTCTAAATAACAACTACAAGTAGCAGCATGTTAGCTGTTAACACACGGCAACAGAAGAAGCAGCTCTAAACAGCCGGATAACAGCCGGTCACCACAGTGACTTTGAACCAACATTACCATTACCATCCCGCAACTTCCAAAATCATAACCGGAAAAGAATTCATAATCCAGACTGAACTTTGAAGCTACTTCAAATGATGTCTTTTTTTTTTTTTTTTTTTTTTTTTTTTTTTTTTTTTTTTTTTTTTTTTTTTTTTTTTTTTTTTTTTTTTTTTTTTTTTTTTTTTTTTTTTTTTTTTTTTTTTTTTTTTTTTTTTTTTTTTTTTTTTTTTTTTTTTTTTTTTTTTTTTTTTTTTTTTTTTTTTTTTTTTTTTTTTTTTTTTTTTTTTTTTTTTTTTTTTTTTTTTTTTTTTTTTTTTTTTTTTTTTTTTTTTTTTTTTTTTTTTTTTTTTTTTTTTTTTTTTTTTTTTTTTTTTTTTTTTTTTTTTTTTTTTTTTTTTTTTTTTTTTTTTTTTTTTTTTTTTTTTTTTTTTTTTTTTTTTTTTTTTTTTTTTTTTTTTTTTTTTTTTTTTTTTTTTTTTTTTTTTTTTTTTTTTTTTTTTTTTTTTTTTTTTTTTTTTTTTTTTTTTTTTTTTTTTTTTTTTTTTTTTTTTTTTTTTTTTTTTTTTTTTTTTTTTTTTTTTTTTTTTTTTTTTAAGTTACACAATGATTTTTTAAGCCTCAAGTCTTTCCAAAAGTAGCTCTTAAATGGTAAACATCATAAGCATTACCCAACCTGAACACTTCGAAGGAGATCTGTAATAATTTCTGCAGCATGTTGACATCTGTCTGGAGGCCCTGTGATCTGGGCTATTCTATCTGGAGTTGTTCCATCATCTGCAATAAAAATGATCTTATTCCAGCACGTGTAAAGCAGTAAATTTATACCCATCCACAGAAACATATGACATATTACCAACCTGGCTTAAATTGGATCCTAACACCAGCGTCATTCTGTATTTTTTTTATCATCTCTCCATTTCTTCCGATTACAATACCTACAGCAAACCGTGGTATTGGAACCTTAAAGAGAACAAATTGTTTCAAGATGTTGACAATGCAAAGATTCCTACCAAATTCACCAAAACGAAGGGTCATACATCAGAACTGCAGACTAGAGCCAGTCCAGTGCCACCTGAGGCTTTCTGCACTGTGAACTTTTTAAGACTGGCAATAAAAGTCACAACCTCACAAATACTAGCAGAAAGCATCAAAAGAGAAAGGGATCCCATGCACTGCAAGTTCTCACAATGGCAACAATTCCAGCGGGTATCATGTTTCATGGTCAGCAAATAAAATTTCTAAAGGGCCTAAAAAACAGATACTAGCAGATGAAACTTCCAGCCTCACCTCTGATGAATGGTTGTGATCTCATGATTTTCGTAAGAGGTGGCATTAAAGAACTCTTGCTGTAATGGCCAAACTCCAAGTTCTATAATGTCATTCATCATTATATACTTAAACAAACTTCCTTATAAAAGATAAAAATCTCCAGCTAGCCAAAGCTGCTCAAAATTGCTGGTAATGTAAAATGAATGACGCACACCATTTAAAGTCACAATTCAGCAACGATTAAGTAATACTTACATGCCGCAACCCTTTCGGAATCTGGTTAAGAACTTTCAACGGCATTAACCAGCTTAACATTTTAATGTTAACATCTCAAAATACAGTGAACAAGTTTTTCAACCATGCTTACGTCTATCCCTTCATTTCCTCCTATTCTTGACCCATATTCGTTGCGCACCTCTCTAAAGCCACCTTGATCGCGAATTAACTCCAGCACCATTTCCTTGGCTTGCTACAAGAAGAATGGAATTTCATTTAAGTACCGCAACATCAGAATAGTTACCAAAAAAAAAAAAGAATATGAATTTTGAAAGACTCCTTACTTGAACTTTATAAGGGTCTCCAGTTATCCTAAGGGGCTTGTCTGCGCCAGTGTTCTGTGGACCATCTTGAATCATGACCATTTTGACACCTGCTCGCTCCTATTTGACAAAAGGGAGGTCAATACCCACTCAAATTCAAATTTGATATTATCATCTGTTTAAGAAAAAGTACATATATACCTGCAATTGTTTAATTGTCTCTCCTCCTTTTCCAATAACTAATCCTGCTTTACTTGCTGGAATCATAATTTCTTGGACTGCATTTCCAGGTCCATCACCATGATGAAAGCCAGGTGCAGGTCTTCCCTTTTCAACTATCTGATCAAGTAATCTTTTTGCTGACCTGTCAAGGAATATATACACTTATGAATACAGCGATTCCTACAAATACTGCTTGCCTGCACTTGTTCTGCGTGGAAAAAAAAATCTTTTTTTTTTTTTAAATTATCTCAATAGTTTTATTCACTTAATACTTAGTTGAGAAGTGCACTAGGGGCCCTATCACTAGTTCTTCAGTGCGCACCGATCAAGTTTCCTTCAGTATTTTTAAAGAAAGAGTAATCTTGTATCAAAGATGATGCGAATCTCTTTATAGCAGCGGTTTTGCCTCTTTTACAACAGGTCTTTTTCCAATGTGCCTCCTTCCAGTGTCAGGACAGTGAACAAACTCAGCAGCTTCTTTTACAGGTGGGTATTACCTCTCCCTTGGCCATTTGTTTTTTCCAAGTTTGTGGATTTTAACTGTCTTTAAGCTCACTATCTCCTAACTAAAGCTTCCAGTATTTCAAATGTTTTTAGGGAACAAAGAAGAAAAGGAAACAACATGCTGAAAGATAAGGTGAATCACACATTTTTATTCTCTACAATGAAGTCATATGAAACCTCCACACATCAACTGTACCTTCCTCTACACATCGTCACCAACTTCACTGCTGTATTTCCCATTTGCTTTACTTCCTGATAACCCCTACAACCTAAACAGACATGTTCAGCAAATCACTTTTTCCCTGGCCCGCTGCTGAGTCGTTAGTTCTAAATAAGCAAGGAAGAAGTTAAAGTTTCTTCCCGTGTTCTAATGTATCAAACAGCATCCCTCTCTAGACTGAAGCAGGTCGAGAAGCTTCTAAAAAACTTAAGAGTATATATGGCTCTGCTAGAAAGAAAAATCAATTTCTACTTAAAAGATTTCACAATTTGCAGCTAAATTGAAAAAAGCTACCTTGATCAGATAAAATATCACGGCCTAGAAAACAAAGAGCTTTGTCACATATATACATCCATACATTCACACAGGAACATCAAGATGGCCCTCTGCAAAATTAATACCCATTGAAAAATTTCTGCAGGAGAAATATCATTCTTCTCACTCTTAGACTCAATAAATCTATATCAGTAACTTTAAAAAGATCAATCTAAAAAAATGCTAAGAGAAAGTAACTCCAAGAGAACATAGCACGTGGTACGCCTAAAACCACGCCAGCGTCAGTAGAGAAGAAAAGGTGGTTCTTTATCAAACATACGTAAAAGTTTTCTCCTCAAATGTGACTATCAGCCCAGAACTTAGGGCTGCATAAGAACAAAATTTCATTCAGAACAAAACATGGAAACACTGCCCTTTAAATTAACCTTTAAAACATTCCATTGTTACACAGAAGAGTTGAAAGAGCTACAATGTACTATTTTGGTGCGTAAAAATAAGCTGGAAGTCAGAAAAGTTTGTCCTATACTGCCAAGCTTGAGTGGTAATTCAAGTAACCTCTCATTTGGCGTAACTTTATTTAATCTACAAACAGTCAATCTTAAGGCAAATCTGTTCAGTGTTACTTTTATAAACAAGGAAAAAAGACTGTAAAATAGACTTAACTTTAACACTAAGTATGGTCACAGCTGCTGCTTGATTCAGCATACAAAGTTGGGGTATTTGTACTTGTAAGCATTACTAGAATAACGGCCAATAGAAAGCATACATTCATCTCCCACATAGATGGGTCAGAATCTGAGTAAAATCATGGTCAGAGTCTGAGTAAAATCACGAGTACTAACATCTGTTGAAAACTCTTCCCTCCAACACGTGGTCAGAGTAAGTTATAATTAAAAAGAATATTCCCATAAAGGAATGGCTTCTTGAACAGAAGCTTGCTTGGCTGCAAGGTAAGAGGTGACCAGCATCTGTTTTCCCAAAGGGAAATCTGTAGCTGCAGGCCTTACCTGAAAAAATGAAGTGGGAGCAGCTAACAAACATGGAATCAGCAAGCTCACCACACTTAAGATCATTCCTAGCAAATCCAGGATAAACAGGTCTTCAAGTAGTCAACTCAAAGTAAAAAACCTCTACGCCAGAAAAAGAAATATTTTCTTAGTTGTCATCCTCTCCCCTGCACAGAAGGTGAAAGTTCACTTTGCCAATTGGTGTTACATAGATACTACTTTTCATAACTTTTGGTACACATCAGTTCATACCACAGGTACTTTTAAGAACTCTGACGGGCTGGGCTTTGAGTAACTCCTGTTTTCATGTATTCCTAGTTTTCACATTTTCCCTATAATTTTCTTAATACCAGTTAACAGAGTTTCTTTTTAATATACATTTAACTGTGTTTCTTTCTAGGTGGCATGCTTTAAAAAATTAAGTCAAGGGAAGCAAGTTCAAATCGTCACTGACACTAGAGACGATAAGGAAAATGGCAAAGTAACATTTGCAAGAATCTCACAAACCCTTTTAAATGCCCCACTGCACACAAAGCCTTCAGCAGCAACTAAAATTCCCATGTAAAGAAAAACAAACACCCCAAACCCTCCCACTGAAGAAAAACATAAAAGAAAACAACAAAAAACAAAGGCATAGCAGCAAAACCACCCTAACACGTTTTATCTCAGGGAAAATCAGTACACAACAAACAATCTACAACAGGATCCAGGCTTGGAAAAGTTTAAGTTCAGTAATCATATCCGTATTTTTGTCTTGTAATTACAAGTCTCATGAGGGATGTGACTGCAGGTTCAGGGCCTAGTTTGGTACGTATACATTTAGTTGTCACCAGATTGCCTCTTTAATAGAACAGGGGAAATGCTATATTTAGATCCAAAAAAATGGAAAAGCATTGCACAGTTAAGTAAGAATACACTGAATTTGTTTTACTTACTGAACAGACTCTGGTGTTCCAGTTAGCATACAAGATCTTTCAGGCAGGCCTCCACTATCTAAGAAGGTCATAAAATGAAACTGATTTAACAGCAGTATTAAGGCAGAAAGAGATTATGAAACCAAATGATACACAAGCTATTGGAACATAGCAGAAGAATCATTGCATCACAACACTTCTTTGGATTGCAACAATTGGGATTAGCACAAAACATTAAAAAATACCTTAGATGAAGATACATATAATTAGAAACAACAATCAGCCTTCTGAACTTGCTACCAATGATATACCAGAAATAGTTACCAGGCGCGATCTGTATTTTACATCCAGACTCTTGCTGTATGCGTGAGATCTGCTCTCCACCTCTGCCAATTACTTGGAGAAAGAAAACAGAAAAGATATTTGTATTAACAGCCTCTGCTAACATCCCTCACTATACTGCAGCACTACGTTCATACTACTTACTGAATCCAACCATTCCATCTGGAACTTTGTACTCCTCTGTCATCACAGATCTGTAGAGTTTAAATGCAACAGAAAACAATGACCATTCAAAGACGAAACGGCTTTGTATTTAGATGCTTCTTCTGGTTAGAACAGAGGGAAGCCAGTTGCCTCCCCTGTCCCAGCACATTTGTCTCCCACTAACTTATATGCACTCCACTAAGTCATGTGCAACCACAGCTTTCAGTGAAACTAGGTTATTTTCAAAGTAAGCAACAAGCTATAAAAGTGAATAAATACTATTAGTAGTGGAAAACAGGATGTGACCACTTAAAAGTTTAAATCGTAATATGAACTGATAGATGTTTTCCTTCACCCTCTTTAAGTGGGGGGTGTAAGAAGGCCAGTGTAGTATTAAAAAAAAAAAGTTTCAGTTGAGGCACGGTGAAAGCATACGAATTTCGGTATCTCATGTATCAAAATTAGGCAAAGGACTGAAAGAATAGTTAGATTCGGCTGTTTATGGAAGAGACGAGCAGAGAAAACAAGTTATACCAGATGTAGCTGACTGAACAATAAGCTGTGCTAAGTTTGCCTTTTTTAATCCACTGCATATGGTGTATTAAAAAAAAAAAAGTTTCAGTTGAGGCACGGTGAAAGCATACGAATTTCGGTATCTCATGTATCAAAATTAGGCAAAGGACTGAAAGAATAGTTAGATTCGGCTGTTTATGGAAGAGACGAGCAGAGAAAACAAGTTATACCAGATGTAGCTGACTGAACAATAAGCTGTGCTAAGTTTGCCTTTTTTAATCCACTGCATATCTTTCCTATTTTCAAAATAGTGTTGACCCTTTCCCTTCAGACCTGCTCCTAGTTTTTGGTTATGATAGATATGCTCAAATACTGCTAGAGCAACCCATTTTCCTCATACTAAGCTTAACGTATGGCTAAGGGAAAGATACAGGCAACATATTATCGGATGTATCTCAACTGTTTGGCTTGTGGCTGCTGAAGCTACATTTCAACATATCACTATATCTCTATAAACATAAACCATTTCTCTAATGCACCAACACTGCTTTTCCAGAAGAATATTTTTTTTAAACTGCCGTTTTAGTAAAAAGGTGAAATGATATATGAGGCGTAGCTTATCTGTAGGCTCTTACCTCTGTTGTTGATGCATTGGTGGTAGTTGATTTCCAAAAGCTATAAGCAAATATTGTTAAAATTAAACAAACAGTATTACTTGCAACTAAGTATTTTCTGTGTCTAATAATAAACTTAAAAAGTCAATTTGGACCGAAATAGATACAACTAAGAAGTGTTATCACGTGGTATAAAAACATAGCTAAAAGTATTCTCAACTGTTACTAACATAACATTCTGTTAGTTTTTGAAAGCAGACTCAAACCGCTTCAAGAAACTAAGCGAGAAACTCAGTCATTCTCTTGATTTCATGGGTCCAAATATTACCTACCAGATTACTGTTTCAAATTCTTGTTTTCAAAGTTTTACACTTGTTTACGTTTATTGGCAACAAAATAAGAGTTACTTACAGTCATTTGGAGGAGCAACTTTCTTAGCATCTGGTTGATCTGCAAAATTAAGATTTTTTTAAATGTTTGCCAAGAAATTCAAGAAGCCTTTACACCTTTTAGTGTGAACTGGAACTTTCCAGTGCACTTTAGCCCCCTTTTTTTTTCTTTTTTTTTTCCTTTTTTTTTTCCTTAACTTCAGGAAGTTGATCATCTGAATAAAAGAAAGAATCTCACGAACACTCAGCACTTGGTTAGTATAGCTGAAAAGATGTTAGGTTTTTCCATATATCTATTAAGTGGTTTAATAAAAGGCAGTTTTCAGAACACGTTGCAGATTGCTCATAGGTACCCAGTCACTGAAACTTCACTACAACAAGGAACAAAGTTTCTCTCTGTTGGTTGCTCAAGCTAATGATGCTTCTATAGTAAAAACCAATTAAAAAAAAAACCAAATCCATACAAAAATTAACAATGATTTAAAGAAAAAAGTTTTCTGACAACGACCACAAACCTAGATCAAACGTCTAAAAATACAACAATATCACATAGCAATGCAATCTCACTCTGAACACTGATATGAAATCCCTATCGAAATATCAAGCATTTCATAGCATAAAACTTCAAAAAAAAGCAGATTCAAAGCAACTACATCACTACCATCCAAATCCTTTTTGTATAAATAAAGGAATAAAAGGCACAATTAACCTATATCTGAAAAGAAATACTTCAGATGCTTTCTTCCCACCCCAAAATAAAATAAAGGTTATATGAATCACCATAATTTATGTGCAGCAAAAACTCAGACACATATTCCAAGAAATATTTGTGTCAATCCAGAAAGATCCACTAGTTTATTTCATGTTTACATACTAAACACAGGTAATAAATAAAAATTCCTGCCTTTAAAAGGAGAGGGCATTCCCTCCCAGTGTGTTGTACTGCTCGGACTTGTCCAAGAGCCATCTACACATAAAATAAAAAGAATACATTACATATATCATCTGAAGCATCATTAGCTCATTTTTGTATATTAAAAACCTCACCGTTAATAGAAAAAACTTTATTACAGGACACAAGAACTCCTGATATAAAGCCTTAGTTACAATCTGTAGACTGAGTTTCAATCCTCTTAAAGCAAAAAAAGGCATTGCTCTTATGCGAGACCTATGAGAACATTTCAACAAGCTCAGAGATTTCTCTCCACAATTTAGTCAGGATTTTGTGTGTATATTAAGCATATCAAACCCTGTTAAGTTCAAACTAGCTGCTTAGTAAGAGACAGAAAACGACACACACATTTCAGGAGAAAACTTCACTGCAATATAAGGCAAATCCAAAAAGCTGCAACAAGTTAGGAGATTAAAGTATGATCTTATCAGGGTTCACACACGCTACATGCTTAAATATTAGACCAAGTAAAAACATCTACAAGGTAGAAAATTTACTCTCCTGTCTTTTTTTAAAGTCCTATGCTTTTACAATGAAATGCATTAAAATGTTCATTTGAATCTGTGCAATAACAAAACAAACGAAACAATCAAGTTTAAAAAGTGAACACTTCCTGCTCTAATTGTAATTTACAAGCTGTAATCAGTCCTATACAACAAAGGACTGCAATGACATACCTGTACAAAGAGCATTTCTGAATTTTTCTGCCCTTACCATTGGCATATCTTTCCCCGTTATTGCATTAAAATCATATTTAAAATATTTTAAAAGGGGCTTATGTTCACTTCAGGTTACAGCTACACAGCACAATAGTTTAAAAGAAATTTCCCCTTTAAACTGAAAATGAAAAAGCACGTTGTGATCTAGAAAGGGAACAAAATGTTTTTATGCTGTGCTATGGGGAAAAAAAACAAAACCAAAACAAAAAAAAACACCTGCAATCTTTCTGGCACTGCGGCCAAGCCATACTGAACAAGAACAAATTCAACAGTAATGAACGCATACCTCCATCCTCAAGAGGTCTTTTTTGTCCTCCATAACCGTAGTCGTTTGAATTCATTGATGTGCCAGCATCTCCTCCAATTTTTGCTGCAATCTAAACAAAAGCAGATGCTGTGAGAACAAATTCATTCAGTCTGTCCTTATTTATTCCAGGTCTTCTGAACAATATCAGCGTTTGAGACAACACATTATTAATATCACTCAAGAAAGCAAACAAACGGTTGCTGCTAGAAACAGTCCTGCAAACAGCCATGATACCTCCCCCCCCAATGCATTCCAGAGACTTTTGTATTCATCCTTTACTAGGAATTTCTTCCTATACTCACTGTTTTTTCCACCGGCTGAAAAAATCTGCTCTTCAAATTGTAGCAACTTTTTTTTCTAGAAGAGATTTTTCCTATTTTATCCATACTTCGAGAAAGACTGCGATATGTCGCAGACAGCTTGCCTGCTAAAACTATTTTAAATCTTTATAGTCAACTAGATGCTTTGAAAAAATCTGCTCTTCAAATTGTAGCAACTTTTTTTTCTAGAAGAGATTTTTCCTATTTTATCCATACTTCGAGAAAGACTGCGATATGTCGCAGACAGCTTGCCTGCTAAAACTATTTTAAATCTTTATAGTCAACTAGATGCTTTTAAAAAAAAAAAATACTGCCGAAAGCATCACCGCTTATCAGACAGACAAGAAAATTTCACCTGAGAAACAATGC